GAATTTGAGCTAAAATGCACAGAAAAATGAAAAAAAAACTAAATTTGGAATTGCTGAAAAAGGTAATAACGCGGCAAATGAATTTGAGCTAAAATGCACAGAAAAATGAAAAAAAATAATAACGCATAGCAACGTAACATTATGTACTAATAAAAAAATTCTAGGAATTACTGGAAACGTTATAAAAGTACGTTTTGAAGTAAGTTAATAAATGCAGCCTCCAAAATGCATATACATATCCCTTAAGAACAGTCTAGGTACCAGAAACTGGATGTTACAGGATAACTTTCTAGAGTCAGTTAAACTTATACAACGACAATAAATATTTCATACGGAAAGATGAGATAGTAAAGAAGGAGAAACATTTGTTAGAAAGAGAGAGGGATAGCGTTACAGAAGCAAAAGAAGTGTATTTAATAATGACAACGCTGGAATAAGACTGAGGTAACTTAAAAAAAGATGGAAAATATATAAGACGTTAGACTAGAAGATTACTTTTTTGGTTTTATTGTTATAACACTCTTACTGACCGCTGATCTACCGAGAGACTAGACGAACAAAAAAGAAATAAATTATTAATAGCATTTAAAACGCCAGAGAAGAAAGAATGTTTGATAAAAAGAATGGATATATTAGATTGTAAAGAAAAAACTGGAGAAATGGAAAAAAAAGCTCCCCAGTGGCACAGCGGTATGTCTGTGGACTTACAACGCTTGAAACCGGGTTTCGATACCCGTAGTGGGCAGAGCAGAGATAGCCCATGGTGTAGCTTTGTGTCTAACTTCAAACAAACAACCGAAACAGAAAAAAGATGCACTATTTGACAAACTATAGCATTTAAGACGAAAATGAATGGACGTTAAAATACGCATTTGATAAAGAAAAATACCACACTAGAAGAATAGATCAGCTAAAGATGGAAACAACGATAGAGCTGAAGAGAAATAAACTGGTCAAATACTTTAAAATGTACAAACATTCTTAAGTGAACTAGTAAGATCTCCTGAAGAAATATTGTGTTTTTAGTTAAATATTATTTAACTAAAAAACACTTCTGCAGAACGTGAAGATTCTGTGTGATAGTAGAACGTATGCCACAAAAATTGACATTAAAAAACATTTTTCGTTGATTTACTGTATTCCAACAAACAAATAACATCTATTTAATTCACATTACCAAAGCTGTCAAATCCTATAAACATGGTAAAATAGTAGTCCTTACATTACAGTTTTAATTCCACTGTGAGATTGTTACAGGGTTAAATAATATACAATTTATTCAGTATTAATATCCAGATATATACGGTTTTTTTTAGCTTCTTTGTTCAGAATTCTAGTCCAAAAGTGCACAAGGGCTAGCTATCTCTAATTTTAAACTGTTAGACTAGAGATAAGGCAACCAGACAATAAAACTCGTCACACTTTTACGGTAACGGGACACAAACCATAAACCCTCAGATTTATAGTCATTCACACTGACCATTGGACTACGTCCGGTCTTTGCTTTACAGCGCCGAAAACATAAAATTGAAATCATCTTGTACGTATTTTCTTGATCTTGAAGTTATGCTGGAAGATAGATTAAAAACATTTAAAACGCTAGAGGAGGAAAAGTGTTTGATAAAAGAAATGAATATGTCAAGTTGAGAACAGAAAAATATGAAAAACATAAAGGTAAAAAACTTATGGTATATGCATCACTGACATTACCGAAGCTGTCAAATCCTATAACCATGGACATAGTAAATATTCCTCATAGCTTTAAAGAAAGGGTAACAATTGTCATAAATTATCATTTTCTGATCCTATAACCATGGACACAGTAAATAGTCCTCACAGCTTAAAGAAAAGGCAGCAATTGTCATAAATTATCATTTTCAAATCCTATAACCATGGACACAGTAAATAGTCCTCACAGCTTAAAGAAAAGCAGCAATTGTCATAAATTATCATTTCACAGGCTATGTTATATTACTGATAACGGTGAATTGGGATTAAGTGAACATGTTCTAAGACAAACTCAGGAAGTCTATTTTAATGTACAGAAAGCATATAAATCTTTAAAAATGATAGAACTAGTTTTTCATACGGTGTTTCCTTATTGATCTAACCCTGAAATTTTATTCAGCGTTTTCTTATCATTGTGACCACATTCCCCCTTCATTGTATTTTTATACAGCAGGAGGCATTTAAAAACCGCCCCCCCCCAGTGACACAGCGGTATGTCTGCGGATTTACAACGTTATAAACCGGGTTTCGATACCCGTGGTGGGCAGAGCATAGATAGCCCATTGTGTAGCTTTGTGCATAAATTCAAACAAGCAAAAAAATCTAAAAACCTGTTTGCAAATATCATATGAAGAGGATCAGAAATCTTCAAAGTCTGTTAACTTTTGAAATAATACCTCTAAAAATCATGTTGTTTTAAGTATTATTCAATCATATATATTATCATGTTATATTTTTTCATATATTCAAATCTTTTCACATTGGTGGTTTTCTTTTAATTTGTATATAAGGAAATTTTTAAGTATTTTATTTAATTCATTCTAAGAAGCATGAAATCAAAAGCTATTTGATTTAAACACATTATTCCTTTCAAGATATCACAGTCTTATATACCTCTGACTATATAAATGATTAAATTTGTTCTTTAATAATATCACATCCTTATATATATCTGTAATTATGCATGCGTTTATTTTTTTCCTTTAGTAATATCATAGCCTCATATATTTGTAACCATACAAACGTTTAAATTCTTGCTTTGGGAATGCCACAACCTTAAATATCAGTATCTATACACATGTTCCATTTAATTTTGTACATGTAATAAGTTTTATTTCATCAGCCTCGACTGTTTCGTCTGAGTCTTTCTAACAGTTTATTTAAGGATCATAAGACACGTAAACAGAGCTCAGCACAGATCTCGAAACGTTATCTCGAAAACAAGAAAATCGGCAGAAGGAGTAGAAAACTCACTTTGAAACTCACTTTACATGTCAAAAACGTTGCCTAAATCCAGCTGAAAATAAAAAGTAGAAATAGTCATAAGTGATCATCTGTATTAAGTTACTGATAACGATAAATCAGGATTACGTAATTGAGCAAATAAGAATTAATTAAAAACATCATATACTTCAATTACTTAAGGAAACATGTTCCCAGACAGACTCAGGAAATTGGTTTTAATGCACAAAAAACATAGAAATTCTGAATAATTATAGAAACCTAGTTTTCCTAAAAACCTGTAGGCGTTTTCTCATTTTTTTTTCTTCCTAATAAACCGCCCCCCACGATGGGCTATCTATGTTCTGCCCACTACGGGTATCGAAACCCGGATTCTAGCGTTGTAAGTCCGCAGACATGCCGCTGTGCCACTGGGGGGGGGGCGAAGATTTAGGAAAAATTATAATTTAAAGGTGTGGTGTGATGTTCTGCTTTTAAATTGCTAAAAAAAATCTTGTTATTTTAATTTATCGGTGTTTATCTTTTATTTTAACCTAGAGCCTGGCACGATCTATTGATTATGGTGCTTGACTAGCAAACTGCGGGTCGAGGGTTCGAATCCCCGTCACCAAACATGCTCGACCTTTCAGCCGTGGAGATGCTATAATGTGATAGTCAATTCCACTATTCGTTGGTAAAAGTGTAGCCCAAGAGTTGGCGGTGGATGGTGTTGACTGGCTGACTTCCATCTAGTCTTACACTGCTAACTTAGGGATGGCTAGCGCATATAGTCTTTGAGTAACTTTCAGCCAGTCCAATTGTTTTAACTCTGAACAACACAAAGTAAGTAATGCATGTACAATAAATAGAACATAAACCTAATAACATAACATAAACATGGCCCTGAAAAGAGGAATAACTAACAAACAGCAATAAAACATAAAATTCAATAGCCCACATATTACCGTATTTTTTCGGTGTATAAGACGCACTTTTTTACCCCAAAATTTGATGTCAAAATC